GGATTTATTTGTATTTTTATTTATACATAGGTATTCTTTTTGAAACTTATTAGTTAAACTACTAATTACCTACTGTTTTGTTTATAATGTCCATAAATCACGTCATGTTAAAGCAAATGGTGATTATTTAGTTTTGTATATTTCTCCATATTTCTAATAAAATGCATATAATTGCATGTTTCAACTATAAACTTGTAAAATGCATATTTTATGTTATACCTATTTTAAAAATGATGGTTTTAAAAGAAGAAAATAGAATATTATACCCTATTTATTTATTTTACTATATAAATAGTAGGGATACCTAGTAATTTAATTTATATCTTATCTAATTGATGTATTATACTTCTACAACTGCTACAGTACCTACCTTTAGATTAGATTTAATATTTAAGATTATTGCACAACTATACCTGTACTATACTTGCAGTAAAATTAGTATGTGCTTTGACATAGTCATCGTGTATCATGAGTGTGTTGAGTTTTGTTTGTGAATCAAATTCATTTTGACTTTGGTCATTTAAAATACCAACAATACAAAGTATCAGTGCAAAACGTTGACAGTATTTATTTCAACAGTTATTTATATTTAAAACAACTAGTAATTTCTTAACAGTTAAGAGTATGTCGTGCCCACATGTGTTGTCTCCGTATTGCACACCTACAACATAGCAAATTTTCGTCCGTTAGTTTCAATAGTGTGTTATTGTGTTGAACTTTTAGGTAACAACATTATCTGTGTTCGTCTTGGTTTTTTTACGATATTTAAATTTTTATGTGAATTATGAGCATTTTAAAATATTTATGTTGTAAATACTCATAAATCACTTAAAAATTAAAAAGTATTAAAAAACCAACGAGAGAACACAGATAGTTATTACTTAAAAGTTTGATAATAGGTCAATTCACTTTAATATCAAAACTAACAGCTCACTTTTGAAACTGGCTAACGAAAATGTACAATGTCATCTGTGTGTAAGACGGATACAACACACGTGGGTGCGACGTCCTCTTCAGCATTAATATTTTATAGAAATTATTTTATTGTTCCTTACTCCCTTTGAACTTAAATTAAGTATTCAGTTTCGACACAATCATGATATAAAAATTAAAAACTTTTCTTTAAAGGTGTAAGTATGTTAGATACGTCGGTAAATGAAATAGATGTCTCACTGAAGTCCAATGCATCTGAACCAACTAATTTTAGAAATAGCTATCACTCAGTTAGAATACTTGAAAAATTACAATCTTTACGCAAGTATGTTGAGAGTGATTTTAGTTGCTTGCTAAATAAATATTGGTAACAATCTTTGTTTTTAGAAATGAAGTTTTATGTGATATTAGATTGGAAACAGATGATGGTACAATAGTATTCGGACATAAAAATATTTTAGTAGCAGCTAGTCCGTATTTTTGTTCAATGTTTAGTACTTTTAATGAGAGTGATAAAGATCTAGTCAATATGAGAGAGTTCAATTCTGACGTATTGCAACTATTAGTAGATTATATTTACACTGGCGAAATTATGGTTACAATTGAAAATGTACAGGTATGAATAATTATTTAAATTGTTATAGATTTCTTTCAAAATTATTTAATTCATTATTTTTGACTACTGAAGGTTTTATTACCAGCTGCAAATATCTTACAATTAGACTATGTAAAAAGTGCATGTGCTAAGTTTTTACAGACACAATTGGATCCTTCAAATTGCATTGGTATCAAAGCATTTGCTGAATTACATAACTGCACAAAATTGATGTCAAGTTCTGAAGAATTCATTCATAAACAGTTTTTGTATGATATTATTTCACCTTATTCTTTATATCTGTTGGTGTATAATATTATTATCTAAATATTATGATAATTATTTTCAGAGAAGTGGTTAAATGTGATGAGTTTCTATATTTGTCTTGTGAAAAAGTGATTCAGCTTATCTCCTGTGATGAACTTGCTGTTCCATTTGAAGAAAAAGTAAGATAACTAAAATTTATAATTTTTGAATTAAAAAACAACTTACCTAAAATGTAAAATGTAAATTTAATAAATTATAATCATACTAGATGTCCCACAAATTTGTGTTGGTGTACATAGCTTTGTGAACTAATTCGACCAAGATGTATTATTCGATTGTGGCGGATTAGATATTGGTACTTTGTATAAATCAAAAGTGGTTCAAACTACTCTTTAAACCATTTCTATTATTAATTAAGGCCGGTCGATTTATCCCATCTTCATCTCTTTTAAAGACTTTTAACACAGTAATTTTGATGGTTTTGACCAAGTATAAAATACAGGTCAAAAATTATATTCAATCATAGTAACTATTTTATTTTTTGTAACCATTAGAAACTCTATAATAAACAAAAATATATATTTTTTCCGTGTTCTATCAAAATTTATTAAATTTTCCTATAGATCCTACAATGGATAGAATAATAGTGGTAACATTTTTTTTAAAATCGAATAAGTAGTTCCAGAGATTACCCCGAACAAACAAACAAACAAACAAACAATTTTTCTTCTTTATAATATTAATAGTATAGATGTACAGTGACAGCTTGAAAGGAGTACATTTAAAAAAATAAGAAATTGGCGAATACCCTAGGTATGTCTAGGTAGCTGATAAGCCAAATTATTTTTTTTAATATCAGCATAATAGAAAGCCACAAAGTTCTATGCAGTCAGAACCTCACTCATTTGTAGAACATATTGGGATTCAACTTATAAAAAATTATAATCTGAGGCCTTTCCTAAAACAAATTGCTCCAGGCTCCTCTCTACCTTAATGCTGGATTTGTACGTATTTGAATGTAATATGTATTATTCATGCAATTAATCAAAGTAAACAATGATATGTAGCTATTGAATAACAAATAATAAGTTCAATAAAATAAAATTACCTACAACTATTATTGTCACTAAATTATATTAATGTTAATAATATAGAAATAGTATAATTTCATCAAAATATTGAATCGAACATTTTAAATTAGATTCACTACCATAAAAATGTAATAAATGTTTCTTAGACTGCTATAAAAAAAAGATCTATTATTAGACCCTGTGGATGGAATGACAAATAAATAGGTCTGGGCAAAAAAAGATAGAAACACAATTGATCTTATATAATTGGGATATTGTATGTTATTGTATTTTAATTTATTTGTATTTATGTTTTGTGTAGGTATTTGAATGTGTTATTAATTGGGTGAAATATGATTTGAATTTGAGAAAAGATTTTGTGCCAGAATTAATGGAACATATACGTTTGCCATTAATATCATCAAAGCCAGATATATTAAAAAACATAGCTGAAGAACCTCTTCTTAAAAATAATCCCAAATGTAAATGTTATTTTCATAAATATATTTTCATTGTAAATGTATGTTTTATTTATTATTATTATAATTTATTCAGGTAACAAATTTGTATTAGAAGCTTTAAATTTTCATCTACAAAAGTCAGTTCAGCATTTCAACATTTCTCATTCGGTTCGGTATAAACCTAGACGGTTTAGTGGCTTAAAAAAAGTATGATCTTGTTTTATCAATTTATCATCACAATTATGGTTTTTATTTAATTCTATCAGGTCATTCTAATGTTCTACTGGTCTGCCAAACTTCCAAAGACTTATACAGAATGGTATGACCCAGCAACCAACATACGAAGGAGTGCACCAGAAATGAATGATTGTCGTAGGAAAGCGGGTGTAGGCGTCATTAGAAATCAATTTGTTTTTGTTATGGGAGGCATGAATAGCTCAAGTTCTAAATCTGTTAGTATGCTTGATGTATCTTCACCCTCTCCGTGTTGGATACCGATGGTCAACATGTTGGTTAGTCGAGCCTATTTAGGAGTTGGTATATTAGACGATTATATATATGCAGTAAGTTTTACCAATATTTTACTTATTTTATATTATAAAATATAAATATATAATATATTAAATTCTAGGTTGGTGGATTTGATGGTTTTGCTCCAGTAAATAATGCTGAGGTGTTTGATATCAGTATTCAAAAATGGAGAATGATAGCTAGTATGACTACTAATAGAAGCCTTTTTGGTATTGGTATACTAAATGGTTGTTTATATGCGGTGAATAAATATATATTTTTTTTTTTTTTGTTATTTGTCCTTAATACATTTAATTTAATCTAATTGTGTAGGTAGGAGGTTTTGATGGTTATGATAGTTTGAAGTCTGTTGAAAGTTATGAACCCTCACTTGACACATGGACACCAGTTGGAGAACTATCAGTATGTCGCGATAGCTTTAGTATTGGGGTCATGGACGGAGTTATGTATGCTATTGGTGGCATTGATGGATCTGAGAATCTTAAAAGTGTTGAGGCATATAGACCAAGTGTTGGAGAATGGTCTTTTATTGCTGATATGCATTTATGTCGAAAGAATTCTGGTGACTATAATAATATTTTTTTTTGAAAATAAACTGATAAAAATATTGTATTTAAATAACATTTTTATATAGGAGTAGTGATATTGGATGGTTTATTATATGTTATTGGCGGGGAATCTGAAGAATCAGTTGTCAATACTATAGAAGTATACAATCCTAAAACCAATACCTGGTCCATGGGAACATTGTCAAGAAATGACATTGATGTCGCTGATGCCAAAGTTTATAGTGGAGTAGTCATTAATAGGCCACCACAATTTATTACTAATTAACATATACTATAATGTTCTCATTATAATACACATTTATTTATGTATGATTTATAATAAAACATTTATTTATTCTATCAATTTTATATTTCGTGAATGTTCAATTTACAGTTTTTTGTTTAATTTAATATTTTAATTTTGTTTTGTATTCAAATTTAATAAATACAGTATATTATATTCAATAGTTATGTTTATAACGATTATAATAATTTTTCCACAGCAATGTTTTGCTTTAAGTTGCATATTATCAAGTATAATGTATTTCAAAATGTAATAATTGAGTAAAAGTTTTTAATAAAAGGCCATACCCAAATGGAGTGTGACAGCGCTCATAGTATGATTGAAAGGAAACTTTACAACAAAGATATATTTCTACCCTCTGATTATGTCAGAATAACAACTGAAGCTAGAAAATTTCCGAACACATATAAAGCAGTATTACTAAAATATGACTATTTTTATGACTTTAAACCACTAAAAGAATATACTTCAATTAGACCAGGTATAAGTAAAGGTGAACCAGAAGTGAAAGATATTCGGGTATTGTTGTATGATCCGGCATCATTTAAAATTTATTATAAACTTTTGTTTAATGAACCATATTGTGAAGTACCTAGAAAAATCATAAGAAAGAAATTAAACCAAAATTTAAGTAACAATATTGGAGGAGAAATATTTAAGTTTGAAAAATTGAACAAAAGCCCTTTGCCTTTAACCAAATCCAAATGTAATGATTTACAAAAATTGAAGAAATTTATGCCCACTGACACTCATTCCTTTTATGATACTTTACCTAATTTGAATACTTTCAAAACCAAAGCTGTTAAAATATAATTTATATTATTTTCTTAAGTACCTACCTAGTGTAAATATTTTGCTCATAATATTATTAATGTAAAGACTGAAAATAGAAACTTAAAGTCTAAATTGAAGAATTGATTTAAAACAACAGTTTTTCTGACTTGTTATTAACATTTGATCTGAATATTTTAATTTTTAATTAATTTTAAGTGTTTTCAAATTATTATATTGTATTGAACATTTTGTTATGTTTTAAAATAATAACTTAAATTTAAGACAGTAGTTTTATTTTGTGTTCAAATGCAATATTATGTTTATTTATGAACAATGTTTAAGTTATCTCATATAACGAATTAGAAGTCTGATAATTTTTTATTTTTAAAAAAGTTTATATTCTGTTTAATAGGTATGTATAAAAAATTTGAATGAATTCAGTTAAATTAACTTAAATTTAAGTATGTTGTTTTATTTTCTAATATCAAGTGCAATTGTAAGTTTATTTATGAACAATATTTAAGTAATTTCCTATAGTTAGAATTCTGATTGTTTTTTATTTTGAAAAAAGTTTATTAGTTTTCTTTTGTATAAAATAATATGTTATTAGTTATGTTAACAAAATTGTTAAAAAACATAAAATATATTGTTACTACTCTAATAATATTATAGATGACATTGTTCTTAGTCATTTATTATTTTGAATAAATCTACAGTTGGGCTGTTGGTCATTTTGAATAAAAAGTTTATATTCTGTTTTAATATGTATAAAAAATTTTAATGAATTAAGTTAAATTAACTTAGATTTAAGTATGTTGTTTTATTTCATAATATCAAGTGCAATTGTATGTTTATATATGAACAATATTTAAGTAATTACTAATTTCCTATAATTAGAAGTTTGGTTGTTTTTATTATGAAAAAAGTTTATAAGTTTTCTTTTGTATAAAATAATATGTTATAAGTTATGTTAACAAAATTGTTTAGAAAACATAAAATATATTGTTACTACTCTAATAGTAGTATAGATGACATTCTTGTTAGACATTTATTATTTTGAATAAATCTACAGTTAGGCTGTTGGTCATTTTGAATAATGAAGTACCAAGGTACCTATTTCAGTTAATAAACAAGCATTTTTTATTTATACAATAACCTAAACTGTTAATTATTAAGTATGTACCTCACAATGAATAACACTTTAATAATACAATTTAATAAGTATTATAGTTTCTCCGAAAATAAATATATATTTTATAAGGTAATATTAGGTAATACCCTGTATCTACGCATTTTACCACAGTGATTCAACGTATCTACACTAACTTCTCATAAAAAGGTAAAATGTTTATTTTTTCAGCATATTATGATTTAACTATACATTTTAAGTATAGATATGGTTCAAGTTTATTTGATATGTAATTATATTAATATTTATTTAGTTTTTTGTTGCTCCTGAAAAATCATTAAAATGTAGATACAATGTATTGCCGTTAGTGTAACGATATTTACAAATTATTATCACGGCTATGGATACAACTTTACTATTTAAAGCTATCAATGTTATGGACACAGTCCACAGATATTTTTATAATTTGGTAATGGTTGACTCGAGGGACTGCCTATTATAAGAAAGATATTATTATTTATTTATCGACAGCGGCTTCAAAAACAAAAGAGTTATTAACAGATACCTACCTATTATCACAATAAGTTAGATTTGGTAGAAAATAGCGACATTGATAAGGATTTGCAGATTCTATAGTCAGTCAATTATTTTATATATTACAGTTCAGATATACTTAGTAAAAAAGATTTTCATTAAATTACCAATTGCCTTATAAT